TGGTACTTGCGTACCATGCTGAGAATGGATCTGGCCCTTCCTACATCCAGGACATGGTTAAACCGTACACCCCAGCACGTGCACTCCGCTCTGCATCAGCCAAACAGCTCGCTGCACCCGCACTGCGAGGGGGACCCAAGTTCCCATCAGCAAAAATACGTGGGTTTGCTATCCTGCCTCCAAAATGGTGGAATGAGCTCCCCATTGAAATCAGGACAGCAGAAAGCTTACACATCTTCCGGCGCAGACTGAACACTCATCTCTTTCGACTCCACTTCGAGCGATAGAACTATTAACAAAGCACTTATATACTAACAAAGGACTGGCTTATCTAAAGCCAGTTGAGTAGCACTTGAAATGTTTGGCTCTATGAAACCTGATGTCCTTATATGGTTCTGTTTTCTTCAAGGTTGTATCTTCCTGGTCGAATGCACTTATTGTAAGTCGCTTTGGATAAAAGCGTCAGCTAAATGCAATGTAATGTAATCTCTCTCGAGTTTTCTTTTTGTGCTTTGCCAAAAGCCACTGTGTCAAGTGTCCTACTTGGGTTGCCGTACGGAGTTCTCCAATATGGCGGACCATCAAACACATGCGCACTGCAGATAGGGCAGGGCTGCAGATCGGGCAGGGCTGCAGATCGGGTAGTGACAGCTGTTAATATTCCTGGGCGGCCCGCCCAAGTATAGTCTATGTGTGGGAAACCCTGCTTATATAGCGCTTTTCTAAAAACTCAAAGACTCAAGTTTTCAACTTTAATTGACTGAATTTATTTGAAACTTGGGCCTATTAACACATGAATACTGTGAAATATATTTGACATATATATTTAAGAGGTAAGACAAGCAGAAGTTTATTATACTTAAGTCATACTTTTTTTATTTGCTGAGTGAGGGCCGATTTCAAAATGGTCCGACAGGCCGCATTTTGCCCCCGGGCCGTAGTTTGGACACCCCTGCTGTAGATGAAGGGAAGGGATTTTAAATCTCTACATGAATGGCAGCCATTTCATTCCAGTGTCTTCTTCTTGAAACACAGAGAAATATTGTCAGTAGTTTATAGAATAAAATAAAAAATGTTTATTTTACACACATACCTAATAGTAAAACCAGAGAAGCTAATAATGCTGCAGTGGTCTCTTAATTGTTTCCAGAGCTGTATGTGCACCTGACTATTTTTAAAGACAGACCTCATGACACATTGCTGTGTGTTTTTGTGTCCCTCAGCACCCATGTCCTCACAGAGGACGTTGTGTACCGGGAGGTGACCGCGGACCACCGGCTGCTCTCAAGACGCCTCCTGATGAAGACCAATCGGCTTCCTCGCTGGGCGGAGCGGATCTTCCCCTCCGGCATGTCTCGCTGTGTGTACATCATCGAGGACTCCATCGTGGACCCCGTCAACAGGAAGCTGACCACCTACACCTGGAACCTCAACCATACAACGCTCATGGTGAGGGGCCTGATTCTGTGTTCAGAACATTTCTTTCTTGGAAAAGTTGATCATTGTCACTGTTCTCACAGCCTGATCTATGTGCCTCAGCTTTTTACAGCTACAAATCTCTCATAAACCAGCTCCACATGCTTGGCACCAAATGGAAAAGCTGGTGAGCAAAGTGAAGCGTTTAGCAGCTAAAAAGTCTATTATATTTTCCCCTCAGGATATCCTTCATTCCGTTACTTAATTTGACCAACGTTAAAAACACAATTTGCCTCAGGATATAAGTGAAGTCAGCTTAAGTTTGTTCTGCATGTTTTTACAGGTTGGCAGTGCAGTGATAAAAACTGTATTTGCCAAGCTCAGCAAAAGCAGCAGGTACCTGCAACGTAATCTAATCATGTGGATGTTCCATAAGGGCTGCTCAATTAATCGTATTTTAATCGCAACTACGATTGTGGCTTGCAACGATTACGAAAACAACGTAATCGAAATAAAACGATTATTTTTGTGTTTTTTTTTTTGGTTTTTCAGTTGAATTATACTTAACGTTCAGGGTAATCAACTGTTAAAAACATACTGTTCACATTTTTTTTCTCCAATAAATTGATGTTTTCAAAGTCAATGGATAATCGTTTTTAATAATCATTTAAAAAATTTAAAAAATCATTTAAAAATCATAATCTCGATTATTTGGGTCAATAATTGATATCACATCAATTATTGACCCAAATAATCGAGATTATGATTTTTGCCATAATCGAGCAGCCCTAATAAGGGCCAGCAATAAAATATGAAGGAATGTACAGTATCTGAGTGAGGATGAAAAACAGTAAGAGCCTTTTGGGTTTTAAAAATAAGTAATGCTCAGTTGGTTGAGACTAAGCAGCGTTTTGCTAATAACAAGTAAGTGATTTCAACTTAAAAGGTGATGACATATCAGTGTTGTGATTTATCTCCAAGGGTTAACGTTTTCACATAGCTTCAGTGATTTAGGACCATTACAGGTTCAGTATTGCATCATTCTTAACACACTAAACATTAAACAGTATGTTCAATTCTAGCAAAAACTGAGATCTTCAAGAATTGAGATCTATATTAGAGAAAAAAAGAGCTTACGGCCCGTCTACACTACAGGCATCGAAAAATGCTTTCAACGCTTCGCCCATTCACTTGAATGGGGTGACGTAGAAGATTTTTAATCTTCGCCGAACTGCATTGTGGGGAGCATGGCATGGCTTTGCAAGCATCACGAGCATCTATCGGCATTAAAGTTGAACAATGTTCAACTTTTGAGGCTCGATGCTTGGCATCAGCCAATCAAATCCCGTTTATGCAAATCCCGCCAGTGCAAGCGCAGCCAATCAAACCGCGTGCAAGCTGGGAGAGCCAGACCGCAGTTCATTTCCTCATATTCCAAACGAGATATTACGGTAGCAAATCACCCGGTTCTTTACGACCGGAACTATTTACCGGGATACAAACCGGAGGAACCAGGCATGGAGGGAGGTGGCAGAGACAGTGGGTGAAACTGGTAGGTTTTTCGCCTGTTTGGAGAGTTTATATCCAGTTTACTTCGTTTTAACATTGCTATTGCTTTGTATGTCGGGGGCGGGAGATTCATGTGATTGGTTGTCGGTCGCGTTGCTCGCAAAAAATCGCCAAGCTTCAGACACGCCCAGCTTCAAGATTTTTTGATGCCTGTAGTGTAGACGGGCCGTTAGTGTTGCGATTTCTCCCTGCTTTGTACTGTAAACTATGTTGGCAGAATAAGAAAAGACTGAACGTAAGTCAGGTGTGGCTGCTTACCCCTCAAGGGAGGAGGAAATATTAATTCAACCGGCCTGATCTTCAAAGGAGGCGAGCGTTTGAACACAGAGAAGAAGGGCCTTGACATGACTTGTACATTATGCAGCCTTTAAAGTGTGCTATTTCCACACTCTCACTGCTGCACACTGTACGCTAATGCAGGAGGGATTAATGCTGCTCATGTTCTTAATCTCCTGCAGTATGAAACTCAACCGGAAGTTAAGATAGCTGACTGGTTGTGATCAAAGACATTTTCTGATCAAAGCATCCAAATCTTTATGGAAAATACATTAATGTTCCCATTTAGTTATTTCCTGTGCTCATTACTTTGATGTATTGTTAGCTAAATGTACTGTGGCCTAACAGAGATGTCCTCATTCACATAGTGGTGAAAATCATGCAGGAAAAGTGGATATTTTTTTTTTTTCATTTCTTTTGTAAAATAAATCACCTTTTAAGCCCCTGTCTGTGGAAGAAAAACATTTATGAAATTATTTTACTTTTGTTTCTGTACTGTGTGGATTATTAGGACAGTTCCACTGCCTTGTCCTTTTTAATAATTTGCTGTTTTTTCTTTTCCCGCTCTCAGTCGGTGGAGGAGCGTTGTATTTTCCAAGACTCCGCGGAGCAGCCGGCCTCCACCCAGATGATACGTGAGGCGTGGATATCCTCAAACGTTTATGGCGTCTCCAGACCTATTCAGGTACCTTTATTCTCTTTTTGCAATAATAACCCATGCTTTTATCAACATGTTAAACTGTCCTCAGTGAATGGTACATTTTCATCATATTGCACACAATATGTTTTTTTTTTTTATTACTGCCAAAGTTTATTCCATATTTTATATTTCACTATATTTTTTATAATTTTTAATGTTATTATAGTTTTCTTAAAATAGTTCTCTATCTGTTTTTTGCTGTTGTTGTTTATACACCATGACACCAAGTCAAATTCCTCGTACGTGTCAACCTACCTGGTAAAAAACCTGTTTCTGAATCTGATTCTGATATTCGTATTTTAAGAAAACAGCCGTTACTTTCCTAGAAATGCATTTGTCACTGTAGATTTGTAATAGCAGTAAGCAAGTAGCAAAGCATGCTACATTTATTTACAATGACTAACTATTATCCATCCTAGATTGTAGAAATATATATTTGTTTAAGTAAATACACAAGTTTGTCTATATTTAGATGGTGATTTACAGCATCAAGAAGGCTTCAGTTTGATTTGTTGGTATGTGTAGTAGAGTATGAGCAGTAGAGGCGTGGGAGCCTGTGTGCAAATGCCAACACAAACAACAAGTGGGAGATTCAAAGGAAGAAGCGAAAACGGTGCCAAAATATGTCTAGAGAAAATAGTTATTGTTAGATGTTGAAGATGCCCGGCTTGCTTTGAAACCCCCGGAGAGACGGAGAGAGAGGGCTGTTAGCTAAGTGTGTTTTTTTTTGTTAAGGCTCCCTCATGCTAAGCCGTTTCCTGTTCTCTATTTTCCCAGGAGTTCGGATTGGCCCGATTCAAGAGCAACCAGGTGAAGGCCATGAAAGGGCTGGAGTACGCGCTCTCCAACATACAGGGTACGTACACGTCACGGCAGAAAGAAGAGGGAAACAAAACAGTTTATTTGTAACTGTTGCTATTTCTGGAGAGGGCAAACTTTCCCTTAAAACATCAGGCCTGTTATTTGACTTATTGATGGTGTTATTTATATGTTCCCTTTACTTTGGTTTCATGCTCAAGGTGTGTTTTCATGAATCCAGTAATAATTGAGTTGGGTTGCCTCTGACATCGAAATTCAATCGTTCAGCCTCAGGAGTTTGAAGCCAATACTCTGGAATTGGAAAGTTGTCAGCATTGCCTAGAAATCTACCCCTACATGGTTTCCTAAGAAACAGGTTAATTTGAGCAGCCTTGAGGTCCTTTTCGCTCGGAAACACCATGTGACTGCAAAGGGATATGAAACCATGGCAACTACAGTGACAAACACGTCTGAATTTAGACTCAGACCAAAACAATTCAGGCTCTCTGTGCTGCATAAATAAAATACTGAGGAGCAGGCAATCTGAAAGGCAGAAAAAGCCTGTCCCTGCAAGAGGAATATGAGAAAGACTTCACTGAACTGATGAAAATATCAAACATTTTAAATTATTTACAAAAATAATGATAATTACCTTGATTCAATCCATTGTTTGGTCAGTTAATTGTCCAAAAAACATTCAGAGATGATAAAAAACCCCAGAATCTGTTCTGCTTCATTTACGTCTCCGGTGTGAAACAGTTACGTAACGAACAAACTAATTGCTGAGAAAATAAATTAAAGTTTTTTGGTTGCAAAAGATTCAGACACTCTAGCAACCAATGAACTGCTTAGCCCATCAAAGGCATTGCCACACAATTAAGAATAAAACCCGGAAAAATTGAATTTGGAAAATGTTTACATCAAACTCTAAGGAAGCCATTAGATCAGTGGTTCTCAACTGGTCAGGCCTCGGGACCCACTTTTTCCTTAGTCAATAGATCGCGACCCGAAATTTTGAACCACTCAAATCTATTCAACAAAAAATGGTGCCGTAATATATACGCTTTTCAGCATACATTATTAAATAAAGTGAAGTACAGTACATATATCCCTTTATATCCCTTCACAGAACAAAAAGTATGCCTTTTTTAAAAAAGTTTTAATGAGATGATGAGCTCAAAGCTGAACTGTACAACATAAAAAGGCACACATGCCTGAAACCTAACCCAGGAGATTTTTAGAAATACTATAAATATAAAACTACGCATTCTGGTACACTGAGAAGAAAATTATTTCAATGTATTACTACCCGACATATAATAAAATTTTTATGCCATTGTTTGGTTTCTTAACTTTGTTCTGACCGCTGAACTGCCTCCTCATCACAGAGAGAAGAGTAAAGAGGAGATAGTCTGTGTGAATTACTTTAAATTGATGGGTACAGGGTGTAGGATGCGCCTCCCATTGTTTCTGTTGAACTGTCAATCATCCAAACCGGGGGTCCGTATTTCATTTATGTGTTTCAATTTTTATCTGAAGTTTGTACCCATGGATGTATAAAGAAATAGTTCTACCGCAAAGTTATTCTCCGTGGGGATTCCAGCCAACAAATCTTGATTCTGATTGGACAGACGAATCAAAAAACATCAGGCAAAGACGTTTTATTGAGAAACCGTTTTGTGCTCTCCGGTACTTCCAGTCCAAACGCCTACTGCATGCAAAGCGTTAGAAAAATCGGGCCTTCAAAATAAAAGTTTGACCTTTTTCCAAAAAAAAAAAATACTTTTGTTACCAGTTGGAGAACCACTGCATTAGATGATGAGCGATGCGTTGTTTAGCAGCGTTCCCTAACAAGTGTGAGTTGTGTTGTGCTGATTCAGCGTACTGTGTCTGAAAGGACGTTCTCCATGTTGCCCCTGTGTGACGCACCGGCAGGGATCAGCTGAGTTGGGTGGTAAGTCTGCCTCGCAGTGAGGCATCACGTACCCCACGGCCTGCCAGGGTGTCACATGGATGCCAGTATTTTTATGTTTTTGATTCTTTATTATGAGCCTAACAGAGTAGAGCGAGTAGCTGATGTAGTTGCACGCGCGCTTTTGCGTACGCTTGTTGTGTGTGCAGATAGAGTTCTGCTTTGTCTGTAAATAGTCAGTAAACTGTAGGAGAAACGTCGTATATCTTGCATTTGATCGTAGGTTGGTAATCCGTGTGTGTGTTGGATAGTGATATGATGGTCTTGTAGTTGTAAGTAAATCCTTATGAGCGCTATGTTGTTAGATCTAAAAAAGTGAACCCTGTGAGAATGGATTTGTGTGTGATTGTTGTCATTCTACAATGTAGTATGACGGTATACAATTTATGCGTCTAAAAACTGTCAACTTTAAAATGGCAAGGCTAGCTACAATGGAACTTATGGAGTAAAAACTCAATGGCAGCTTCTAGTTTCAATCGAGATTTGATGCTTGGTTTTGTGTTTTTTGTTTTTTTGTGATGTTTGTTAATGGGGTTAACGTACAATGGTGCTATTGAGATGTTATGGTGTCTTTTTGAGTTAAGCGATGATACATTACACATATGTCGTTAATGTAATGTAAGGATGCTGTTGTGCTGATTAGTCCCGTTGTGCAGGTAGTATCATGTTCGGGTGTTTGTGGGGAGAGAACGCGATCCGATGAACACTCTCCCCTGGGTGTCTGAGTGGTTTGGTCGTGACCACGGGTGGTGTGATATATGGATAAGCTGGGTCCCGGTCTGAATGGGAGTGGCTTAGCTTGACCCTGGATTCAGAGGGACCCGATGGTGAATAAGGTGTTTGTTTGGTTATGTCGTTTTTGATGAGGTATGGCGTTGGAGTTGTGTGTAGTGTCAACGTCCTGAAATGACGGCTGTTCAGAGGTGGTGAGAGGCAGATTTAAAAGGTGTAGCGTGTGAGGGGTGGGTGCATGGGGTGTGTTGTGGTGTACTAGCGCTATGATTAGGCTTGTGAGTAATAGAATGCGAGCAGTGTGAATTGTTGGTGGCGAGTGTGACGCGTCTCCCCGATCACTTAATGAGAGAGCGTCGTTCACAATCACCAGAGTACTTTTCCCACATAAGGTTTGTGTTCTTGTCTGTGTGTTTTGTCTGTGTTGAGAGTGTTGTTTTTGTGGTTTTGTGTTATCTGTCTTTAGTTCTCATGAACTAAGTACAGATCGTGCGTTCACACCGGAAATTTGACATCATCTTCTTCTTCTTCTGCTTGGGTTTACTGGCAGGCCGCAAGACAACCTTCACGGCGTATACTGCCGCCCAAAATCTCGGATGGGCGGCCGGTGTAGAGTCCCGAAGTGCAGGGACTGTGTGCGTTCAGTGTATGAAGCTGCTGGGTACTCCCGCAGCCGCTTGACTCTGTAGATGCTTACAGGAGGGTCAACACCAGGCCAGAAACGACGGACACCTGCCTGGGTCAACTGCTTCTCGCCTCCCACTAGAATGTTTTATTTGTGTGTTCCATAAGTGTATGGTTCTCTTGGCGTTCTGCGCTGGGCTACATGCTAATAATGATAAATAAAATGGCGGCCTTCCACAAACATTAATGGGAGTTTGACGGGGCGGTGATTATGCATATAGCCGGCTCCAGCCCAATTCCAAAGACACAGAACCTATTGGTGCTCCCTACCCCGAAAGTCCTTGTCTGCAGGAACTGAAAAGGGGGTAAAAAAGGTTCTAGACTAAAGTTGTACCGTAATTTTCGGACTGTAAGGCGCACTGCTGAAATATAAGCCCAGCAGCTAATTGAATGATGTTGTAACAATATATAAAGCCACTGACTATAGCGCAGGGTTTTTAATGTTAATTACCATATGTAAGGGTCGTGCACAGAGGGGATTGTCGCGGGAAAGAGATGGCTGTTTTGAGGAAGCTCCCATTTATTAACATTCAAAAACAGAGTTGCGTGTAATTTGAGCGATAACGTATTCATAATATAGGAAGTGTACCATTTTAGTGCAATAGTAGCTACAGAAATGCTACTGTTGCTCTAACGCTGTAAACTTGTACCTGTGGATCACATAGCGTTTCAGACACACAAACTTTTCAAGCTTTCAAAACTGTAGAACGGTGCGCTCCAGCGCACGTACGGCGGGTCTAGTGATCGTACAGCAGTGTGGGTTTTCAACCAGGTGTACGGGGCAACTGTCTCGCTCTCGTAATGTCTGTCTTCTTGCTCTCGTTCTGTCTCGTCGTACCACTCTTGGTTCCACTTTAACCTTTTCCGCGCTACCTGCTCACTCTTTTCGGCCTCCAGTTTCCTGCTGGAGCCCGCGTCGCTTGAGAGAGAAGGTTGGGAAGGGGCGCGGACTCTTGCCCATTGAGAAGCCCATAGAGTTTACAATCTGCCCGGTGGTGGACGTGAGAGAACCTGTGAACATCCATAGATTTAAGAGTGGGCCTTGTAGGTGGTCCGTCCTACGCTTTTAGCATCAATCCGCAT